GCTGTTGGCCACTGTATTCTGTCTCCCTGTTGCAGGTATGGTGTTGTAGGTTGTTTCTTTCTGCCCTCCCCAGACTGTAAACTCCTACAGGGCAGGGATTGTCTCTTTATTGTGGTCACATTTCCTGCACCTCCCACAGAACAGGCACTTGGGTGTGTGGAATTGAATTTGCAGTGGAGTCACGCAGCATGCACACCAGCGATGTGGCTAGCTTTTTAATGTGCACCTGCTGTGGGCCAGCTTCCCTGATATGTGACCTTGTTAGTGCCCACAGAAGCAAACGTTATTGTCCCCACTGCACAGGTGTGCAAATGGACACAGGCAGATCCTCTTGACCAACTGCTGTCAAAGCCAGATTGGAACTCGAGGTGCCCCTTCTCCCGAACTGCGCTGACGTGACCAGGCTGCACTGGTGGAAACATCCGTGCATACACAGTGCCTCTGCCACGTGATATGCGTGTACCTGTGCTCGCACGCAACTCTACCTGCCTGCATATTAGAATCACCTGGGGAGCTCTGAAAATACAAATGCCCAGGCCCACCTCTCACAAATTGTGTCAGAGTCTGGGGTTGGTAAGGGCACAGGCACTGGTGTTTTTCAAAGCTCTCCAGGTCATTCCAGGCTCTACCACTCAGGCCAGCGTGAGAAGGTGGGCACACCTCTGGGGGGGCTCCTGAGGGCAGTCCTGAGCTTCTGCTGCTGCCCCAAGGAACTTGGCTTCTTGTTCAGTGAGTGCCTGATAAACTTGCCCCTGGCTGGCACCTTTTGAAAGTGAGGAAGGGCTCATGTGTCCTTGGCCATGGCCTCTGAGTGCTTCCTGTCTTATGGCGTTTATGACAGCCTGGGCTCAAGTTCTTTCTTTTGGGCTGAGTGTGACTCTGGGACCCTGAGAGGTGAGCCTCCCTAAAATGCAACTCACGTTTCCCACGTGAGGAGAGGGTGTCTCTATGAACTGGAAATGAGGAGTTATTCTGAATTCGAATATAACCTAAGAAACAAACTCTTCAATCTTTTGAACGGGGTTAGGCTTGTTGAGGAGAGGAAGTCCAGTAGAGCTGAGGTTCTCAAAGTGGGGTCCCCCGATGAGCAGCGCCAGCCTCTCCTGGGACCTTGTTAGAAATGCCAATCCTCAGATCTGCTAAATCAGAACTCTGGGCTTGGAGCCCTGGAGTCTGATACCCTCCAGGAGTGACTTTGCTGCCAGTAAAGGTTGAGAGCCTGGGTTCTAGATTGATCGTGAGTGTGAGCCTGGACGCCTGGGCGGTCCGTGGTTCTTCTCCCCAGCTGGGCGTCAGAGGCAGCGGGGGGCTTTATAACGCCTTGGATTTCAGGTCTTGTCTCAGGGTTTGGGAATCTCTATGTTTAACACGTGTTCCAAGAGAGTCTGAAATGCATGTCAGTTTTTTTTTGGATTGTGGAAGTAGAAACCTGATGAATACTGCATTCTGGTCATGATAACTTCACATCCACTGGCCCGGGATAAGGGCGCTTCCTCTTTCCTTTTGCTGCAGGAGTCGCTGCTCCTTTCTGTCTAATCACCAAGACATTTTCCACCAGCCCTGTTACCCATTAAGTAGAGACGGCCATTCCCTTTAACATGCATCTTCCTCATTGCCCGTCATTCACTGCCACATAAAAGCCACAAGTGGGCTTTATGACCTCATGCATACTTAATTAGTCCATCTTCTCAGAATTGTGTTTTAAGCGAGTGAAAACATTAGCCTCTGATCTAATTGATCTGCAAAGCATCATTTCAGAATCTTTATGGGACTTAACTGTTGACCTAGACTAGCGTCGCTGGGGCCTGGGAGAGGCCACAGGTCAGGGATGGAGAGACCCTGCTACTTCCTGTCCCCCCCTGTGGGTTGCTCTGCGAAGAGCAGATGTGAGCCAGACAAGCGCTGCAGGCGTTTCTGTTTTGCCCACAGCTGTCTCTGTCCCCACCACCCTTATCTGTCATAACTGTGCACACCTGCATGATATTTTATGACAGGGCACACCTGCTGAAATGGAGCAGGTGTCATGTTTCAGATTGTTGTCTGGTGTGTATGTCATTAAGCCTCACAGCAGAAATGAGACATGGCTTCTGTTCCAAACCTTCCTCTTACTCTGTCACCCTCCTCCCGCCACGGTGGAGGTTTGAAAGATGCAGACCCACCACACTGCTCGAGGTGACTCTCCAGGGGACTCTGCTAAGATATGTCCTTCTCCACTTCTGCATCCAGCCTCTTTTGGGCCTCACACAAAGGCCTCAGTGCGGCTCCCCGAAGTCCCCCACCTCCCAGGCCTCCAGGCTGCCTTCCTTTTTGTTCCCACGCTGTATCGCCTATTGTACACCCCGTTAGAGCATTTATTTATTCCATCACGTTTGTTTGTATTACCAGGGGAAAAAGTGAGTGTGTTTTCACTTGCCCAAACCTTTCAGAGAGAACTTCTTTGGGAGTATTTGAAAGCCAAGTGAATGAAGTCAGGACTAGCTAAACTTTTTTTCTTGAAAACTGCAAATACTTGGCATTTGAAAAATAATAATGTGATCACATAACTGGGGCTGAGTGAGTTGTGAGCTGGCCTTGACTTGGTTACAAAGCACAGAGGAAGCAGGAGTCAGGGTTGGGATGCTGGCGACAGAGGGTGTCTGTGGATGTTATGACGCTGCTCTGGAGAGACGGACCGCAGTGATGTGCGTCATTTCGTTAGCCACGTGCTGCTCACCCCAGTTAGAATCGCCTGGGGAGCTTTGAAGACATCCCAGGGCCCAGGCTGTTCCCTAGAACAATTGAGTCAAAGTCTAGGTTGGGACCAGGTGGCTCTAATCTGCAGGTAAGGTCAAGAACCACTCTGCTAACGGAGTCTGTTTAAATGTGTGGGTTTGACAATGAGGCTAAGAGGAATCACCTGGCTACGCTGTTATTTTACAATAAAGGGCAATGGAGGCATGCTAACAGCACAGGTGTGCATGTGTGTGCACAGATACACGTGTGTGGGCACTGCAGAGAGGCTGTGGATGCACAGTTGTTTATAGCAATGTCTGCATTTACACATTTAGAGGAAGGCTAGGTCCATGTGACTCTCCTTCCCACCCTTTCCTTATCAGACACACCCAGTCGGTCAACAGACCCAGCCCAGTCTCCCAGAAATAGAATTCTGCCCTAAAATGCATCCCACATCTTTTCTTGTTCATGTCCATGGCCATTGTATTGACTCGAGCCCTTTCTTGTTCTCTCAATAATAGCCCAGCTGTTTTCTCTGCTTGCGTTCATTTATTTACTCTTCCCCATCCATTCACCACACCTGGCATGACTCATGCTTTTAAAACCTTTGATGTTGGTGGTGGCACAGAAATATGATGCCGATAACAGTCAGAGCCAACCCTTAGCTAGCGTTCACGCACGTGTCGTTCACTCCTGGTGCCGGCTCCGTAGGGCAGCACTCGTCTCCCTGCTTTACACATGGGGAAGCCGCAGCACAGAGCAACTGGGCCCTGGTCGCCCAGAGTCAGGATGGCCCCAGGTGGCCCGGCCCCAGAGTCTCTGCTTCTCTGCCCCTCCCCATGTGCTCCTGCCATGTAGCGGAAGGCTGCTCTGTGCTGGCAGACTTTTCATACGTTATTTCTAATCTTCACATCCGTTTTGCCAGATAGACATTATGATCCCTATTTCGCAGAATCAAGGTTGGGAGAGGTTAAATAAGTTGACTGAGACCGCAGACCCGATTAAGGAAATAACAGCAGAGATTCAAACCAGGTTTTCCGCACTCCATGATCTGCATTCCTTCTACCTCACTGCTTGGGATTGTCTGAAATCACCACAGTGACATTTGTGGCTCTTTATAATCTGTCCTCACCCCAGCTTTCCAACTGTGTTCTACTCCATGGTTAAATCATGTCACCTGACTTTTGCTCATGCTGTTCCCTTTGCCTGAAATGCTCTTCCCTGCCCTCAAGGGCCTCATTCAGCTGTCAGATCTCCCATGACAGGGACTCTTGGCTTGCTCATGATACGCCATGTGGAACTTGCATACAGCAGGAGGGAAACCATCTCATCTTCTTGCCACCCCAAGAAGCCCTATAATAATGCACCTCTTCCTGGCGCCCTCCTAGTGTGGTATTTACATCACAGATGTAACCGCCTGTCACTTTGTGTTATACCTGGGCACATGTCTACTTTCCTGCTAGGTGGCATCTTCAGGCCAGGTGTCTTCTCTTCCTCATTTTTCTATCTTTTGTGTCTAGAGCACTGCCAGGCAGATAGCAGACGTACAGTAATTATTTGTTAAACAAATGTAGGGTAGACCAGAATGCAAAAAGCAGGGAAAATCATAAAAATATTCACTGGGAGGGCCCTTGGCACAGCTATAGTGCCTAGAACAGTCAGGGCTGTATTTACCTGGGGGCCTCTAGGGACATCTATGTTGTTTGGAAATTTCCAGAAGGAAGCAAAGAGCTAATGATTATCCTACTGGGTTAATCTAGCTTGTCCATTTTGCCACCTAGGTTTTTAAGTTTGTTTTTATTTATTTTCTTTAGGTTGGCTTTGCTAACCTGGTAATAAAAAGCCCCGGCTCCTGTGTCCTCCCAGCATGGACTTTATCTGTAGTGTATTTTGGGGAGTGTGTGTAAACTGTGGTCTTCAGGATTTTTATAGGACTTCATGGGCCCTCTGTAGTGGTGGCGTGTGGGGTGGGGGAATAGTGCTTGGGAAGAGGGGGTAGAACCTTTCAGGCTGGAAACAGGTGCCAAGAAAAACGTCTTTGCTCTTGGGAAAGTGAATTCTTTAACCGTTGAATTAGGGTTATGATAGCGAGTTAACGTTTTTTCCTGATTCTTCAGGTTTAACTCAATTTGTACAGCTGCCTTTACGCCTGTGCCACTAACGCCAGGTGGAGGGTCCGGGAAGGGCAGGGTGCCCCGTTTGGGGGTGGGGGGTTAGGGGGCTGGCGGGGAAGGAGACCCCCAGGCGCGCTCTTTGATTGGCCTTGACCTTTCCTCCTGCCCCCCCAGGTGAGCGTCCTGACCACGCTGGAGCGCAGGTTCAACCTGCAGAGCGCCGACGTGGGCGTGATCGCCAGCAGCTTCGAGATCGGGAACCTGGCGCTCATCCTCTTCGTGAGCTACTTCGGGGCGCGCGGGCACCGGCCGCGCCTCATCGGCTGCGGCGGCATCGTCATGGCGCTGGGCGCGCTGCTGTCGGCGCTGCCCGAGTTCCTGACGCACCAGTACAAGTACGAGGCGGGCGAGATCCGCTGGGGCGCCGAGGGCCGCGACGTCTGCGCCGCCAACGGCTCGGGCGGCGACGAGGGGCCCGACCCCGACCTCATCTGCCGCAACCGGACGGCCACCAACATGATGTACTTGCTGCTCATTGGGGCCCAGGTGCTCCTGGGCATCGGTGCTACCCCCGTGCAGCCCCTGGGGGTCTCCTACATCGACGACCACGTGCGGAGGAAGGACTCCTCGCTCTACATAGGTAGGAGCTGCCCGGGCTCGCGTGTGTGTTGACGGTGGATAGAAAGGTGGCCCTGGACTTTGTGCCAGAGCACTGGGTCTCAGACTTGACGGCACACCTGGGGTTTGTGAAAAATTCTGGTTCCTGGGTTGCACCCCCAGAAATTCTGGTGTAGTTGGTCTGGGGTGCAGCCTGGGTGTGGAGCATTTTTGTTTTAAAGCTCTCCAGGTGGTGCTAATGGACAGGCGGATTTGAGCTTCACTGTGCTGGAGCACTTACAAACCTCGAATGGGAAGGCCGTCAGGAGGACTGTTGTGTTTATCTGCTTTGTGTGTGTGTGTGTGTGTGTGTGTGTGTGTGTGTGTGTGTGTGTGTGTGTGGGTGTGGCCTTTGGGCTATCTGGTATTAGCCTCCAAGGTATACGTGGGGTCTACACATTTGAAACCTCAGCTTTTAAGAATCAAAATGATCTCCTGGTCATTGTCCTATTGCATCTCAAAAGGAGAGGCAATTTCGTTGCCAGCATTTGGTATAATTCCAAGTTGGTGACTTCTGATAATTTTTTTCAATAACGGGGTTATGCACGGGTACAGGATATTTAGAAAGAAATAAGGTATTTGTGTTTTAAAAAAATTATTTTGCACAGTCATAGTTTCTGATATTTTATACCAGAAGGAGGGAAGCCACGTGCAGGTCTAGGGTTAAGAAACTCCTAAGTGGCGGGTTGCTCATGTGGCAAACGGATTCTCAGTAGCTTCTTGTGGGCACTGTTGGAGGGTCACTTGCAGAGTGAGGGCTGGCCTGCCCAGCATCTCCGTTACACGAAGTATGTTCTGTCTCCCACAAGCTGTTGGATTGTTCTGACACATCCCAGTCACTGAGTGCTAAGCTTTGAGAAAATTACCTCCACCTGGGAAAGCTACGTGCCTCCCGAAAGCAGTGTGCCTTGAGGTATGAAGTTAATTATATTATGGAGGTTTAACTTAAAATAGAATCTGAACTGAATTTGACATAAAGCTTCCTACCTGTCAAGCTGCCACCTTACACTGCCCAGGCTTTCTGAGATAGGATGATTTGGAACCAGTACACACCGGGATGCTGATTGTTCCCTGTGCCTTTCTGTCCCAGCTATGGAATAGATGCCTTTATTGAGCAATTGTGTTGCAGATGTTTTGGCTCTCTGGGGTTGGGCTCAGGGCAGAACAGGTGGAGAGTATGTGCTGCCCCATCACCAGTGAGCCTGGGCTGGGCCTGCCTCTGGAACACAAAGAAGACAGCTCAGGCCACAGGGGGCTAGGGTTTCTATTGTTGTGTCTAAGTGGGTATGGGCTGGGAAGGGGACTAGGGGACTCATTTACCTTTTGTTGCCTTTAAAGCTTGAGCGACAGCCGCTCCATGTGAGTGTTTTGCAGACCAGGGTGTGGGCTACAACATGTAGCCAAAAAGGTCTCCTGAGATCCCGCCAGCTAATTGGTCTCTGACTTTGACTGATGTCACTCTAGGACCCTGGGAGAGTTGTTTTCTGGTAGCAATAACAGGAAGTAGATAAATCAGAGCACAGGAACGAAATGGGCAGTGAAAAGCTGAGTTCTTGTCTCTGATGATAGAATCAAGTAGAAAAATTTCTCTCCAGAATCTCCCCGAAGTCATACCAGTGCCAAATCACCCGTGCCTGGGGCTTCCTGCAGGAGTCTCTGAACACTCTCTGAAAGTATTCCCTGATGAGTTAAGCTCTGGCATTCCCCACCTCTGGATGGGCTTGTTTTGTATGTGCCATGCTTTAGGATGAGGAGGCATTTTGGTTTGGGGCATGGGGGTGGGGAGGTGGAGGCTTGGACTGTAGGGCTGACCGTTCGAGGCAAGGGGCCTTCTTGAATTCTGAGGCCTTGTCTGTAGGATTTGTGTTGAATCTTTGGTAGGAACAACCGTTCAGTCAAATTTCTATTTGGGTACCCTACTCCTTCCTCTGACGGTTAAGTTGTCAGAGAGTTGGGAGAGTGTCTGTTGGTGGCTCTGGTATATATGACTGAATTCCACCACATGATAGCACATGGCTGTGAAGAAGGCCGCTCTGAGTCTTGCTGAGCTGATGTCGTGGATCTTTGTTTATAGGGAGCAGCAGAGAATAAATAAACCTTTTGCACAGATTGGCCTCAATAGGTGGCCTTTTTTTTTTTTTTCTGTGCACGGTTTGAATTCTCCAGGAACAATTTAAGAAGACCGTGGCATATGCAGAACATAACCAGTTCATTTATTGTACAAGCCCTGAAAAAGCGTTTGTGATCACAAGAATATTTCAGCACTTATCTCCCGTAATAGGGAGCTAGTTCCTGAAGCCACTTAACTCTGCTTCGGGAACTGTTTGGGGGAGCCCACTGAACAGAATTGATATGAATTTATGGCTTCTTAACTCCCTGCAGAGAGGAGGAAAGTCTCCGATGCTGGGACTGTAAGTGTAAATGTGCACCCGTCAGGGTGGAATAGCACGTGTACCCCTGGTTCCAGCTCCTGCAAAGCTGGTCTGGACCAGCCGTCTGGTCATACGCCTTAAATGTGACACTGGATTGGAGATTGAAACGATTATAAGTATTGCACATGTGAAACACGGGCTTGTTCACAAGCCGATCCTTTTCTGTGGATGTCAGGAGGTAAGGGAATGACCAGAATGCACTGCTCAGGCTGCAAGTCATTGGTGATGAGACTTGTGGCCATGACGTCTGTGGCCATGCCATAGATCCCACGACAGCCAGGGGAAACGTGAAGCATTCCATCGTGAATCAAGCTGATATTTTCAACTAAATGACTTATTTGCTTTGGCCTTTCGTGGCTTAGCTGCTGCCAAACTCCTGTATCCCTGGATGGGCCTTTCACAAGGGGCTCCTCGGGCTCACCGTTCTGCGGCCAATCCTTTCCAGTGTGTGTGTGTGTGTGTGTGTGTGTGTGTGTGTGTGTGTGTGTGTCTGTCTGTGTGTGTGGGCTGGGTGGGCGGGTGCGGAGCTGAGGGAGCTCATTACTAGGGGACAAACTGGATGAATGGGGACTTTGCTGGCAGGCTTTTCATTACGGCAGCACGTGGCACCCAGCCTCACAGTGCAGCCAGACAATGACCCGTGGGTGGCATGTGGCACTGTTTGTTCCTAGAGGGACTACATGAGCAGGGTGGCAGTGAAAACCCTTTGGCCTCTACTGGGGTCCGGGAATCGATTCTTTGGGAGTCTAGACATGCCTCTAGCTCCAGGTTGTGATCTTCCATTAGCCCAGTTTTCTTAGCTGTCCTTCTGTTTCTCCAAGTTCAAAACACAAGTTTTACTTGCTTTTTCTGACAGTATAAGTTGGGTGATGTAATAGACTCATTCTGTCTTTTTATTAGGTTGCTGCATTAGTTGGTTTTTGCCACCCCCCCCACTTTTTTTTTCCAAGGAGGGAAAAGGCAAAATGAGAGTGGTAAAGATTTTTTTTTTTTTTGAGACAGAGTCTCACTGTGTTGCCCCTGGCTAGAGTGCCGTGGCGTCATCCTAGCTCACAGCAACCTCAAACTCCTGGGCTCAAGCGATCCTCCTGCCTCAGCCTCCCAAGTAGCTGGGACTACAGGCATGCACCACCATGCCCGGCTAATTTTTTCTATATATTTTTAGTTGTCTGATTAATTTCTTTGTATTTTTAGTAGAGACGGGATCTCGCTCTTGCTGGTCTTGAACTCCTGAGCTCAAACGATCCGCCCGCCTCGGCCTCCCAGAGAGCTAGGATTACTAAAGATTTTTTTAAATGGCTTTATTCCTAGTTAAAAAGTATTACATGTTCACTGTTTACAGTTTTGGAAATATTAACAAAGGATAATTAGAGAATAGTTACTCTTAGCTTTATGATGTATATAATTCTAATCTTTTTTTTGCATTGGTATGCTTTTCTGCAAAAAATGTTGATGATAAACCGTGTTTTGTAATTTCATTTCTCTTAATATTTCATGAGTATTTCTGTTACTAAATATTCCCCTATGACATTACTATATACATAATATTCCCTTGTGAATATATACCAGAATATTTAATGCTTTCTGTTGTTGGACATGGGTTTTTAGAATTTTTGCTGTCATAGACAAAGCAAACAGGTAAACTGGAATTTGGAGAGTTTAAGTAACTTATGATCATTTAGCTGGATGGGGCTAGGCTCTGGATCTGAGAGAGATACTTACTCCAGGTACATCTGGGATCTGCTCACAAGGCTGGGATAGGAGGTCGAGGGTGGTAGATGGTTCAGGGGGTCAAGTGCAAGACAAGGCATTCCATAAGACAGCCTGAAGCCTTCAGGGAATAAAACTTGCAGGAACCAGGAAGGCAGGAAGACAGCCACGTGCCTCAAATCTAGGGAGAGAGGAGCTACCGGAATGGAGAATGGGTGTCAGAGCCAGAATGGAGAGTTAGGGGTGGGTTGGAGAGAGAGGAGGTGATGCTAGCTAGCAGTTCAGGTCTTGGTTCTGGAAAGAGGTGGTGGCCCTGTCTCATGGTGCTTCGAGTAGAAATGGGTGCACATAAGAGCTTAGACTTCTGGGGCAGGGGCAGCCAATTTGTTCCATCCCCTGTTCCCCTGTCCCCAGCGATGGGGACGACATACCTTCACATGGCCGTTCCTTCCATTCTTGCCCTGCAGTAGCCATTAGGACGTTTTCCTAATGCTGCGTTAGAAATAAGCTCCTTACAACTTCTCACACCCGGGTTCTGGTTCCGCCCTCTGGGTCCACCATAAAAAATTCTGATTCCTCTTCTGTATTCTTATGACTCTCCAAACAGTTGAGTGCTAACCTTTCATGGGTAGGGAGGGGGCACCTAAAGCTTAGCTCTTCTATGCTAAGACCTTCATTCCTTTCTTCATGGGGTTTCCTGCCACCCTTCTGCTGCTGTTTTCCTCTTAAAGAGGGATGCCAAGGGCTGGGAGCTCGTTACTGAGGGGACAAATCCAGACAAATGGGGGATGTGGGATACGGGCACCTTATTAGTTGCTAGTGCTGCTGTGGTTTAAACAAC